TACATGTATATTGGACTGTATACTAAATACAGTATTGGACTAAATACATTTTTATTATCATGGATATGTCATGATATATTGGATAAATATTGTATATTATATCACATTTCATTATAGATATGTCATGATATATTGGACTGTATACTAAATATTGGACTGTATACTAAATACAGTATTGGACTAAATACATTTTTATTATCATGGATATGTCATGATATATTGGATAAATATTGTATATTATATCACATTTTATTATGGATATGTCATGTATATTGGATAAATACTGTATATTATATCACATTTCATTATAGATTTGTCATGATATATTGGATAAATACTGTATATTATATCACATTTCATTATAGATATGTCATGATATATTGGATAAATACTGTTTAATATATTATATCATATTTCATTATGGATATGTCATGATATATTGGACTGTATACTAAGTATTGGACTGTATACTAAATACAGTATTGGACTAAATACATTTTTATTATCATGGATATGTCATGATATATTGGATAAATACTGTATATTATATTATACCAGTATATTGATGGTGTTAATCCATTGATTTGATTGGTCCAAACACAAAATTTGCATATGCAATCCATGATATATTGGCTGATAATGCACTGCTAAACCAAGTGGCCCCGGAACATGAATTGACTACAGGTTTAATACAGAAATACATAAAACCTGTATTTGATTTTTAGGGAAATATAGTGGTTGAATTTTGTAAGAATATTGAAAAAAATACTGAATTAAAAACATCTGAAAAGTTATATAACTTTAATATTGCTTTTTGTTAATAGTGGGATCCAAGTTGTGAGCGTCGGTCGTTGGGTGATTGTCGTTCGCCACACAAACCTAAACCACCTCCCTCAACAGCGAGAGGTGCCTAAACGAACGCCAGAACGCTGTGTTCACGGTGTTGTGGCTTTGAGATGAATTGCGAACCTACAACAAAGAAAACATGATCTTTAAGTACGAGATACCGTACTTATCCGGGTAAGAGCCCATGCCTAGACAAACGCCCACCCCCTACTTTTGACACAATAAAGGAGTTGAGGTCATATCCGTGCACACGCCCAGGGGGTCTTTTACTACACAAAACAAAAAAACTATTTTCCATTCGTTGACTGTGGTTGTATTAACAGTTAGTTGACTTTCTTGAAGTCTGTCGTGATACTTCTCTTTTTGAAATATGCCGTGGCCCTAAAAAGGGCCGGCCGTTTTGTTTGTGCTTCCTTAGAAATTATTCAAGCAAATCGTATAAGGAGAGCTGCTAAGCAAGTGTCGTACTCGTTTGGCTTTAGCGTCGTCGACAATGAAAACAATGTTGTAATATTGTAGCAACCCGTACCAGGGAGAATGGTTTAAATCACGTTATTTTGGCTTTATAAATATTTTGTAGCAGCTTGCGAATCCCCATAACTTGGGCCAGCAATGTTGCAATGTCACGCCGAAGACTGCCAACTTTTTTACCATCTTTTATCACCGCTATTGCATTTCTGTCATGAAAACTATTCTTCTGTCCTTGGATAAAAAAAAAACTTCCTATTTCAAGTCCCCCGCGATATCCATACAGTGAGACATTCCTACCGACGGAACTTGCTGAATGATAACTTTCACCGTGATTAATAAGCGTCGAGTCTGATAAGAAAGCAATGTTACAATTTGACCTTTATGATGAAATACTAGTAGTGATGTCATTCTTAGCCAATCAGTAAAGCAGATGCATAAAGGTCAAAGATGATTGCTAGACTGTAAACAAAAGCATCGTGTGCCATCACAGCAGAGCGACCCCATTTTTCTTGTCTCTTTATTATGATTAGACATGAATTAAAAATGCCAAGCTGACAGACTGTGAAATCTGTGGATTAAAAGTGCTAAGTCCAAATTGTGTTGGACGATATCGACGAACTTCAGGAATTTGATTAAATAGATTTAATTGTCAATTAGATTAAATGGAGTAATAAATGTCCATTAAATATCAATGTAAAATGCTCACATCAAATGTAATACACCATTATTTTCAAGCATTTTGATCTACAACTCCATACCTTTTATTGTTTGGTTGCAAAAAAATAATAATATATATATTTGGATTGGTAAGACCAAAACAATAGTAATTGTTTCGCGCATATCAGTTCAAAAGGGATCGCTCAAGACTTTTGTAATTATTTCTGCCAAAATATTGTAAAGCTGAAAGAAATGATAAAAAAATAGCATGATAATAAAAGGGACTCACGGTAACATCTCAGGATTAGTAACAAATACACTTTTAGTCTAATCTCTGATATTGTTGTTTTTACTCATCAATTATTTATCATTTTATCAAGATTGTGGGATAGGACAGTGATGCCATGACTATAAGTGAAAAAAATTAGTTTGTAATAGTATTTGTTGTGTAATCTGAATACAGATTTATATTCATACACATGTACACGTATCTCGTCATTCAGAATTCATTGCTCATAGCACTTGTCTATCATAATAAAAAGATAAAAAGTCAGTCAGTGTTCATGTTGACACAGTGAAAAGAAAACCAATATATGTATTTCAATGATACTGCAATGTAATATTAAACAGGTAAATATTACCTGAATTCCCCAAATTGATTAACCATGTTCCCCACATAAATTTGTTCAATGTATTATATATGATATTATGTTTATTGATAGTATAGTGCATATTATATCTGTGATACTGCAATGTGATATTATATGATATACAGAATATATCCCATATATATTCTATATTCTGATATCAGTATTGAAATATTCCTACCGAGATCCTGCTTTATGTCCTGATATCAGTATTGAAATATACCTACTGAGGTACATGTACTGCTCTATATCCTGATATCAGTATTGAAATATTCCTACCGAGATTCTGCTCTGTATTCTGATATCAGTATTGAATATACCTACTGAGATCTGATCTATATTCTGATATCAATATTGAAATATACCTACTAAGATTCTGCTCTATATCCTGATATAAGTATTGAAATATACCTACTGAGATCCTGCTCTATATTCTGATATCAGTATTGAAATATACCTACTAAGATTCTGCTCTATATCCTGATATCAGTATTAAAATATACCTACTGAGATCCTGCTCTATATTCTGATATCAGTATTGAAATATACCTACTGAGATTCTGCTCTATATCCTGATATCAGTATTGAAATATTCCTACTAAGATCCTGCTCTATATTCTGATATCAGTATTGAAATATATCTACTGAGATTCTGCTCTATATTCTGATATCAGTATTGAAATATACCTACTGAGATTCTGCTCTATATCCTGATATCAGTATTGAAATATTCCTACTGAGATCCTGCTCTGTATTCTGATATCAGTATTGAAATATACCTACTGAGATTCTGCTCTATATCCTGATATAAGTATTGAAATATACCTACTGAGGTACTGCTCTATATCCTGATATCAGTATTGAAATATTCCTACCGAGATTCTGCTCTATATTCTGATATCAGTATTGAATTTACCTTCTGAGATCCTGCTCTATATTCTGATATCAGTATTGAAATATACCTACTAAGATTTTGCTCTATATCCTGATATCAGTATTAAAATATACCTACTGAGATCCTGCTCTATATTCTGATATCAGTATTGAAATATACCTACTAAGGTTCTGCTCTATATCCTGATCTCAGTATTAAAATATACCTACTGAGATCCTGCTCTATATTCTGATATCAGTATTGAAATATTCCTACTGAGATTCTGCTCTATATCCTGATATTAGTATTGAAATATTCCTACTGAGATCCTGCTCTGTATTCTGATATCAGTATTGAAATATATCTACTGAGATTCTGCTCTATATTCTGATATCAGTATTGAAATATACCTACTGAGATCCTGCTTTATATTCTGATATCAGTATTGAAATATACCTATTTAGCAAATACACATAATAGGCAAATATTTTAAACAAAATTATATAAACTTCTGGAAAGATCTTCCAAAATTGCACAGTAAATTTAAAACAACATACATTTGTATGTTATGGAAGAGTACCTGATAAAATAGAGTATTCCTTTTTTTATATTCAGAACAAGTAATCATAACCTGGCATAGAAAAGGGGAGGCATAATTAGCCTATAACAGCAAAACAACATAGTATATGCAGTCATTGTTCTCTTCAGCATATAGAAGACTAAATACCCTTTCTTATGATATACCCCAAATACCAAAACCATTAAACTGATTTGCTTTCAAACAAAGTATGACTAATAATTGATATGCTATAGAACTATAGAAAGTACTAACAAAAATATAATCACAATTAATACATTTCTCCTTCCTTGCAAGGAACGAAAGCAACACTTTTGACTCATTTTTTTTGCTTTTCTTTGTTGTTTGTATTTCATCTTTATTGCTATAACTGTTAGAAATAACCATGCCAACTTCAATTGACACATTTGATAGGAAGTTGCTTTGTTCTGCAATTGCACAAAATTGTCCTCACATTCATGACATGTGTTTAGCTCATATGAATATTACTTTCATTAAAAATACCCACAAGTACTGTGTCATTTTCAGTGAATTATTACACACTTAACAAACAACAGATTTCTATATGCTTATACATGTATATGGTCTCTAACATTAAATACACATTACATTGTTTTATTGATCTTTCTTGTTTACTTTGCAGGTGGGTGAAAGAATACGGGTTATCCTAGATATGGAGGACAATTACTTGGCATTTGAAAGGGGATATGAATTTCTAGGTGTTGCATTCCGTGGTTTACCCAGTGTCAATCTTTACCCATCAGTTTCTGCTGTCTATGGAAACACTGAAATCACAATGGTATATCTTGGTCCACCTCTTGATGGATGACATCTAATATTGTACTAGGTTATAGTTTGTTAGTATTTTCAAATTGTTTAGGAAGAATTCAGGTATTTTGTATGACCTCATAGCAGACATAGTGGCTGAATCTGCTGTGTCATTCTGTCTTGAATGCAGTGGTGCTTTGTTAGTGAATGCTGAATATTCCTTATAATCTACTCTTCACTGATAGTTAGTCCCAAATGGAAGATAGATACTGTATTGCTTTTGTTTAGATTCATATTCAACCCCTACTTTTATCTAGTACATCAAGAGGAAGTCTTGCTTACATGAATCTGCCACTACAGTTACTGTACTGGTCACATGACATACAATCATGTGACTGCCATGAAACAATGAGATATTGTATGTACTACATACATGTGACAATAATTGCATTTTCAATCTAATCTCAAATGAAACCAGGAAAATAATTAATATTGTTGTTTTGAAGAAGACCAATGGTTGCCACACGTCAGTAACAGACGATTAACTGGAGTCAACAAACATTATAAAATATTCATGAACCAAAATATTTATGAACATCAGTTGTACATTGAATTGACACTACACACATGTCAGTTTAATACAGTGAGGTAGGAAAGTGTTGACCAATCACAATTTGTCATAGGCTGGCTGAAAAATGTCGACCAATCACAATTTGTCATAGGCTGGTTGAAAAGTGTCGACCAATCTCAAATTGTCATAGGTTGGTGGGAAAGTGTTAACTGATCACAACTTGTCATAGGCTGGTTGAAAAATGTCGACCAATCACAATTTGTCATAGGCTGGTTGAAAGTGTTGAATAATCACAATTTGTCATAGGTTGGTTGGAAAGTGTTGACTGATCACAACTTGTCATAGATTGGTTGAAAAGTGTTGACCAATCACAAATTGTCATAGGTTGGTTGGAAAGTGTTGACCGATCACAACTTGTCATAGGCTGTCTGATTGATGCTTGTTCACTTGGCTGAATAGAGGGAGGTACCAACTGATCCAGTTGCCTCATTTGAAGGAGGTGCCAGCCTATCCAAGAAAAATCCATTTTAAAAACTGTATATAAACATGGGTTTGTTGACTCTGCTTTATTATATAAAGATTGTTAAAATATCATAAAATAGACTCAAATTATAGAAACTTACTGAGACACCAAGCAATGCAACTGTTATAGTTGGAAGTAATCTGCTTCAATTTCCAAAGACACTAATTTTCATCAAGATATTGTAGTAAGTGATATATGTTCAGTGAAGTTCAATGTATCAGTGACTTTTGTGAAAATCTTTTTTGAATTGTCTAATTGACATCATTCAACATTTGACAATATTTGTTGAAATAGCATTCCATGTCCATTGGCATTGTGCAACTGATGGACAACGATTCAGATGTCATTACCCCCTTATATACATTTCAGTTAATTTGCATTGAGTATTCTGCAATTACTGACAAGTAAGTGAACCACATGTAAATTTCCTAATTAATAAATTGTAAAATAAATATAAAATAAAATTAAATGAACATTGAATATTATTAAGAGGACCAAAAACTAGATGTAAAATGTCCACATTAGAGGACTCAATTGTGGTCTTTAAATATTTGTACTTCCATCCCGAGGGACCACTGTTAAAACTTGGCTGTGCAACTTGAAAGGAAACACATTTTTTTGTTGCTAGTCACATTATGGGATGTGTACTTACAGAGATTAATAATCAATAAATGTGTTTTGAAGCATAACTTGCTGGAATTTTCACTGAAATAAAACTAACAAATTCAGGTTTTTGTTAGTTTGTACATTTCACATGCTTTGTGTACACACATATTTCTTTTTACCTTTGTTGTGCATGAACAGGGTTATTAATTCAGGTTATCAGAATGTGAATTTGAAATTGTATTTTTAGGTTGGGTATCCAGATTTCATCTCGGTGACCCACTCAGGACTCCTATCCATTGTGCCTGGACCCTCCTCCTACCATAGAGCTCACTCCTGTTGTGCATTCTAGTTGTGCATTTACTAGTCTAGCATCTTGCAAGCTTTACTTTTAGACTCCTTACCAATTTTTTTTTAAATGTAAAAAAAAGAAAAAAAATCCATTGTTTATGACTACCTGCATGAAATGTTGTATATATATCTTAAGTCACGTTGCCTTGTTACAATTATGGTAGATTGCACTTAAATGCTGATTGTATCCTGCTGTATTTGTCTAAATTAAAATTCATATTTCTAGCAACAAGTATGAGGAGTCGGGTACACACCAACAGCATCTCTACTGTCATTACAACATTGCTATAAATTCACATGTGTGAAAATCAACAAGCGCCCTCGAGCTGAAGAATGAAGACATGATGTCAAACACTCTCAACTTATCATTGTGTGTCATTCAAATCTGTCATACAACTGACATATAATTCTCAATGGTTTGATGGCCATGCACTTAAAACACAATTACAGTAACCAGAGAACAGTGCAGAGAACTTTCGTGTATTTGACACAGATACCAAAAAAGATACAAAAGCACACCTATTATGAATTGATTTGTCGATTTTATCATGTAGGTTATTTCTTTCAGGCCTGATTTGTTTCACCTTTCACTATATGTCCCTACTCTATAGTAAATTTGTTTTGACACAGAATAAATAGATGTATTTCATCAATATTCCACCATTCCAAAAAGTGTATGAAATTAACACTAATAATCTCAGGTTTAAATACAATGTATATATTGGGTTTTGCTCATGTTTATATAAATTCTTTTTTGACAACTGTTTGTCATTGTACTTGAATTTTAGCACCACATTCAATCGTTTCATTGCCCACACTCCTTGTTTGCACTGATTTTATACATCTGCCAAAGTGCTCACCCCTTCCAGAATACTGGCATCTGTCTGACTAGTCATTTATCATTGTTATCAGATGTATTAAGTAATTTTTGACGTATAACTCTTTGCCCACTCCCAAAAAATGTGCTCTTGCGACTGGCAAAAAACAATGACACATAATTTATATACTTCATTAGATTGCAGTGAACCATCACAATGGACACTATTGACCAGTGCTCATTTTGAAACCATATAGTGCAGTGAATCATCACACCGAACACTGTATTGACCAGTGCTTACTTTGAAACCATATAGTGCAGTGAACCATCGCACTGGACACTGTATTGACCAATGTTAACTTTGAAACCATTATATTGCAGTGAATCATCACACTGAACACTGTATTGACCAGTGCTCACTTTGAAACCATATAGTGCAGTGAACCATCGCACTGAACACTGCATTGAACAGTGCTCACATTGAAACCATATAGTGCAGTGAACCATCCCAGTGGACACTGTATTGACCAATATTCACTTTGAAACCATTATAGTACAGTGAACCATCATACTGGACACTGCATTTACCATGGCTCACTTTGAAACTATATAATGCAGTGAACCATCACACTGGACACTATTGAACAGTGCTCATTTTGAAACCATATAGTGCAGTGAACCATCCCAGTAGACACTGCATTGACCAGTGCTCACTTTGAAACCGTTTAGTGCAGTGAACCATCACACTGGTCACTGTATTGACCAATGTTAACTTTGAAACCATTATATTGCAGTGAATCATCACACTGAACACTGCATTGAACAGTGCTCACATTGAAACCATATAGTGCAGTGAACCATCACACTGGACACTGTATTGACCAATATTCACTTTGAAACCATTATAGTACAGTGAACCATCATACTGGACACTGCATTTACCATGGCTCACTTTGAAACTATATAATGCAGTGAACCATCACACTGGACACTATTGAACAGTGCTCATTTTGAAACCATATAGTGCAGTGAACCATCCCAGTAGACACTGCATTGACCAGTGCTCACTTTGAAACCGTATAGTGCAGTGAACCATCACACTGGTCACTGTATTGACCAATATTCACTTTGAAGCAATATAGTACAGTAAATCATAACGCTGAGCACTGTATTGACCAATGTTAACTTTAAAATCATTATAGTGCAGTGAATCATCACACTGAACACTGTATTGACCAATATTCACTTTGAAACCATTATAGTACAGTGAGCCATCATACTGGACACTGCATTTACCATGGCTCACTTTGAAACCATATAATGCAGTGAACCATCCCGGTAGACACTGCTTTGACCAGTGCTCACTTTGAAACCATATAGTGCAGTGAACCATCATAATGGACACTATTCACCAGTGCTCACTTTGAAACCATATAGTACAGTGAACCATCACACTGTACACTGCATTGACCAATGCTCACTTTGAAACCATATAATGCAGTGAACCATCCCGGTAGACACTGCTTTGACCAGTGCTCACTTTGAAGCCATATAGTGCAGTGAATCATCACACTGGGCACTGCCTTGACCAATGCTCACTTTGAAACCATATAGTGCAGTGAACCATCACACTGGACACTGTATTGACCAATGTTAACTTTGAAACCATTATAGTGCAGTGAACCATCACACTGGACACTGCCTTGACCAGTGCTCACTTTGAAACCATATAATGCAATGAACAATCACACTGGACACTGCCTTGACCAATTCTCACTTTGAAACCATATAGTGCAGTGAACCATCATAATGGACACTATTCACCAGTGCTCACTTTGAAACCATATAGTACAGTGAACCATCACACTGTACACTGCATTGACCAATGCTCACTTTGAAACCATATAATGCAGTGAACCATCCCGGTAGACACTGCTTTGACCAGTGCTCACTTTGAAACCATATAGTGCAGTGAATCATCACACTGGGCACTGACTTGACCAATGCTCACTTTGAAACCATATAGTGCAGTGAACCATCACACTGTACACTGTATTGACCAATGTTAACTTTGAAACCATTATAGTGCAGTGAACCATCACACTGGACACTGCCTTGACCAGTGCTCACTTTGAAACCATATAATGCAATGAACAATCACACTGGACACTGCCTTGACCAATTCTCACTTTGAAACCATATAGTGCAGTGAACCATCATAATGGACACTATTCACCAGTGCTCACTTTGAAACCATATAGTACAGTGAACCATCACACTGTACACTGCATTGACCAATGCTCACTTTGAAACCATATAATGCAGTGAACCATCCCGGTAGACACTGCATTGACCAATGCTCTCTTTGAAACCATTATAGTGCAGTGAACCATCACACTAAACACTGTAGTGACCAGTGCTTACTTTGAAACCCACTGGACACTGCCTTCACCAGTGCTCACATTGAAACCATATAGTGCAGTGAATCATCACACTGGACACTGTAGTGACCAGTGCTCACTTTAAAACTATATAGTGCAATGAACCATCACACTGGACACTGCATTGAACAGTGCTCGCTTTGAAACCATACAGTGCAGTGAACCAT